TTAGTTTACATGCCTGTAGTAGATACAAAATAATAGTGTTTATATATTAAAATTTTATTTTTTCCTTGCACTTTTTACTTCTATGATGGCTGATCATAGACAAAACATCACTTCTAATACCAACAGACAACATTATTTTCTTTTAACTACACACTCAGTTCCAATTACATCACCAAACTTGTAAGCTGTAGCGATAGTTCTCCAGCTTCGTCTGACTGGACTTCTAGCGCGCTGGAGAACTAGCAACTAAAGCTGCTGGACCTCGCAGTGAGAACTAGCTGCTGCAAAAAGCTCTGTGTGACAGGGGCTTTAGATGGTATATGTTAGGATAGGTTAAATATGATTTCCTGCTATTTTCTTTAGTTGCACTATGCATTTTAAGTCTTATTTAAGTATTTGAGTCAAAATTACTACCTACTTAAAAATCCCATGTGTCTGTTATCTTAAAATTTACTAATAGGCCTAATAAATTAGGCTAGGACGACATGTATTATAGGGTAATTCTTATCAGTTAGAATCAAATACTTGTAGTTTCCAAATAGATAACAGTCCAATCATAGACCTAAGGCTGTCAATAAGGCATAGACATGATTTGTTGCACAAGACATTTAACACATTGATAAGATCGATTAATATGGGATAGATGTATTATAAATCGATAACCAGTAGAGTGAGTAGTATATCAAAGTTCCCTTTTCCTAGAGATACAACTACACTCCTAATTACACAAATCAGTTACAGACCTAGGGCTATTAAATTGATAGGCTTTATTTTAGTGTAACATTAAAAAACATGGATAACCATTACTCGATTCATCCATTAGGGATTTTAAGGTTAATAGATCACTTTATTAGGCAGTAACGTTTATCAGTTGGGTCGATATAGGTATTGGACTTGTTATCCAGGTAGATATATCAATGCAGTATGGCTCTGTGAGATTTATAGAGGTGGATTTTAACAGCATTTACCACCTTGGCCTGATTGAGACATTTACTGGCTACCTGGCATTTTGTCCGCAAATTCAATACGTATAAATTTGCAGGTAATGAAGATAAAATATAATACATTATCTTTTCTTGAGATCGTGTTTTATCGTCAGCATGTTCTGCTTGGAATTTTGGAAGGTTATACATTAATCATTCAGTAATTCAAATCCATTCAATGGGATGAGCATAGCCAATACTTGAGACAATCTTTGTATTCGGCACTACAGGCCTAAAGCAGCGCATTTACACTACACAACTTGTTAAAACTTTTGTTTGTCAAACATGTTAAGTTAAACTTTTGGTTTATTCAACTTGACCTTGTATTTATACGATTGTTGGCACGTTGTATGCGCCAAAAAGAATTAGGCTACCAAGAACATGTTTAACACCTTCGCTGCTACGGACCTTCACAACAAACAATTTAGTTGGAGCTAACTCAGGTATATACTCGGACTTACCAAACGTCAATAAGTTATGGTAGATTTACCTAGGGTCAACCGGGGCTAATATGAACAAAAAAAGTAAACTTTTGACATTAACTCAAAAATGGTAAATGACAGAAGAAAAGAAAAAATAGTAGTGTATACAGCTCTTTTAGCTGAATCTATTTATTTACTAACAAAAACCATAAATGTAACCATTATTTAAAAAAAAATTAAAAACCACTGTTCACATTAGCCCCGCTAAAAGGGGCTAATGTGAACAGCCCATGGGGCTAATGTGAACACTCTTAATAACTCTGTTATTTACAACACTAGGCATATGTGGGGGCTGTTGTGAACAAGCCTAGGGTCTAGTCTACCAGTTGCAATAAGTCTCAATATTTTATCTTAAATAGTTTTTGAGATATGAAGGTATCTTTGGAGAGCCGCGGGTCGCCCTACGGTAACCCTTTTTTTTAAAACCATTTATAAATATTATACAGGGATAATAATAAGATATAAACAAGAAAAAAATTATCTGTCAACATACCTGAGTACCTATTTATTAAAAATTTCTTCCACATACAAATTGTTTAAAGCACTCTTAAAAAAACAATAATTTAAGACAATGCAAATTGTTCGTTTAGGCAAATGACAGTTTATTGCACTTTTAGGCCTATTAGGTAAATATAAAAATGTGGGCTAGGCCTATTCAACACCTTAACTGTTGTCTTTATAAAATTAAAACTGTTTTATCACTGTAAGGCCTTCAAAGAAGTTTATTGAGGAACTTACGCCTCAAAAACTTCGACAATTTTGTCGAAGACATACTTATGTCTATCACTGGTTCCACATACATTAGGGTCTGGAAGTTTCCCCAAAATGTCAGTGGTAGAAACAATAAATATATCATCTTCTTTTTTCAGGAATGATTTTTTTTCCTCATCACAGGATTTAAATCCCATCACTTCGATCTCCCCGTCAGCCTGAGCTTGTATATATAGTACAATATATACTGTATATATTGTTGTTCATAATAGCCCCCATTCACTGTTCACATTAGCCCCCCAACTTTGAAAGCTTATAACTTTGGCTGTTATTAATATATTTTAACTTTGGGAAAAGAAAAATAATCCCCAATTCTTATTTAACAAAATTCAGGCTTAAGATTATTCCTACAACCAATGTAAAAATTGTTATAACAAAAGTTTTCACTTTGCGCGGAAAAGTTTTTTGGGCGGAAAAAAAGTGTTTTAACAAAGTATTTTTTTAAAGTACCTAAAAGTCAAATTTGAAGTTTTCTCATTATGGACACAAAAAATACAATAAATTTCCTTTATAATTATATTTTTTTCATGATTAAAAATCCCAGATAAACGACTTTTTAAGTCATTGTTCATATTAGCCCCAATATTTTGGTGTGTTCATATTAGCCCCGGTTGACCCTACCCGATCATGACATATTAGAATTAAAACATACAAATGATATAAGGAAATAGTCTAAGTTACTACAAAAATAATTGTTAGAATAATATGTAAAATCCATTTTTTTTAATTGCAAGGCGCAGGCCACTTTTTACTAATCTTAGTCCCCACCCTTACCTCCGTTTAGGCCTATATATATTAGAATCAGCTATGATAATATGGAAATTTCCTGAAGTCTTTAACCGCAACCATGAAGTACATAATTACAACACCAGGCAACAAAATCACATAGGCTAGACATTTAAATTGTCACCGAACATCATTGGTAATAGCCGGACCACATCATTCAGCAAGTAAACTATTTAACAAACTGCCAGAGGACATAAGAAGCTGCCAAGATAAAAACATTTTCAAGAAAAAGCTCAAGAACTATTTAATAGTAAAGGCCTACAACAAATTAGAAGAATTTGAAAAAATAGGCCCTACATACCTGAATAATACCTTTGACGACAACGGCTGGAAAGCTAACTTACTAGTAGGATCATCACAAGTAACCTTATACAAGTAAGTGAAATGTTACAAGATTTGAACGAGATAACAAAGATTTGTTGGATCGGGAATTGAGGACTGATTGTACAGTAGGTCTAGCAACAAAAACTTAAGAATGCCATGTGTAGACTGTTGTGTAAGCTAGGCAGACTGAAATTAGCAAACTGATCTAGAGCCCAGATAGCGGAACACATGTTTAGTAAACAAGTTCCATATTTTCGACATGGGTCGGGAAAGGTGTAGCTTGTTGTATAACACGATTTTCGGTTGTACAACTTGTTATTGTACAGTAGGCCTATCTATATAAAAATACAATATTTGTTATATTCTTTTTGGCTGCACTTTACTTGACGTCCTACACTCATCCGATTGTTTTTTCAATTCAATATTTTCATTCGATTGTTTTATTCGATATATCGTTTGGTTAGTTAGGTTAGTAAAATAGCGTGGTCTCTCTCCTTGGCTTTAAAATAGACCAAAAACTTACATGGACCAAGCATATAGACGCGGTCAGCACAAGGCTATCAAGAGTTGTACACCTACTTAGAAAACTCACCCATATGATAAGTCCACACTATTTGCTGGTGATATACCACGCTCTCTTCCATAGTGTATTGAGCTATGGTCTAATGCTATGGGGACACGCGCCTGCTTGTGAGGACATCCTCATACTCCAGAAGAGGGCAATTCGTGTGATTACTTTTAGTAAAAGACTGGATCACTGTAAGCCGCTCTTCATGAAAACAAAGGTCCTAACAGTCTATAACCAATACATCCTTCTGTGTTCCGTCCATGTTAAAGACAACCTATTAAATTTCCCTACAAGAAGTACCATACATGCACATCAAACCAGGCGTAACAATGAAATAGACATCCCTTTCTGCAGACTCTCAAAAACAAAAAATTCATACCCGACCATGGCACTCAGGATTTACAATAGTCTACCCCAAACACTGAAGAACCTGGAAGCTCCTAAGTTTAGCACTGCCCTGAAGACATGGCTAAAAGATAGGCCATATTATAGCCTGAGAGATTTTTTCGAAGGTATGGGTGTATCCACCGCCATGACATAAAAGTTTATCTAAAGAGAAAAGTTTTGTTTTGAGTAATATGTAAATAGTATTGACAGAACCTATCCGGCATCGCTGGTCTTGGTGACGAAGGAGGTAATTAACGTAATTAGGTTAACCTTACCTAACTAACCAAACGATATATCGAATGAAGCAATCGATTAATCGATATATCGATCAATATTTTCGTTCGAATGAGTGTAGGACGTCAAGTAAAGTGCAGCCCAGTACTGCATCAGTTTACCAAGCAGGCATATGACTAGGTTATCAAACCATAGTTTTTAAGAAATAGTTAAGTATGTAAATACAGTAGTACATACTTACTTATCTAGCTCATAAATATTCTTGGTGTATTAATTAAAATTGCCTCACTCTGTGGTTCTTTCTATTTCGATACTTTATGTAAGTTGGCAATTTTAACAACTTGTGGGTTACATAACACTTCTAGGTTTTACAGGATAATGTGAAAACTTAAGCTCTGCAGAAGTTAGTTTTTATTAAGTTCTAGCATGAAAATATTTCTTCAAATTAACTGTTTCTATACTCACCCAGAATGAAAAATGCCTGTTTAAACGAAGAAACTAAACGATCCAAGTAAGTTTACAAACTTTTAAACTTTAAACCAGAATTTTATTGTTATGATCATTTTGACATTTTAATATGATTGGTTAGAAAAATCGACTAAAACGAAAAGCCAAACGCCATATGGGTGACAAAGAGTAACAAAAATCTCTTTTATACAACCCCTCTTCAAACAAAACACCGAGCATTGAGCATGTATGTATAACCATTGACTATTGGAATAGTCAAAGGTATAACTGTGCAACAATAAAATATATTTTGAAAGAGTTTCTAAGCGTTATTAAAATAAAAGGTTGAGTTTTGGAGTTTGCATGGTCTATGTGCTTGAATGACAAAATTTATGAAAATAAATTTGTTGCGAAAAACCAGTTTTTTATGTGAAATGTTAATAGAACTATTTTATTTGTACATTATATTAAAGCCTATTAAGGGTTACGGTTTAAGCGCGGCCACCTTTAACTCCAGACCGTGGCCTTCAAAGTGGCAACGCTGTCAGTAGTGCCGTAACAGCTGTTTTGTTTGTTAGTAGCCTAGCTAATGCGTATTTGTGTATTTTTTAAGAATGCGAAAGCTTGGTTACTGGGCCATGAAAAAAATTGACTCAATTTTTAGCGAATTTCCCTATAGGGAAGTAGCTATTGATGTACAGAACTAAATTTTATTTTATATTGTTTTGGTGTAGGACACTATAAGTTTCATTTTTTATCTTTTAAAATAATACATAGTTAATAATGAAGTGAACGGGTGTCACATGTCTGCCATGTTAGCTTGGGACGTCTGACTCTAAACAGCTTTACTTGAACGTTGCCAATTCTACCAGGCCGCGGCCTGGAATTAAAGGTGGCAGTCCCAGTGGTTTAAGTAGCATCCGTTTTCATCGTAATATGTTTTAAATTATGTATACAGATTGGAGATTACATAAATATTGTAAATTTCAGTTCTCCCACTTTAAAATCAAGCAACTCTAACACTTTACATGGATTGACGACGTTCCTTGTCGAAAAGCTTTCCGCCGAGCCTATTAGCGGCTTAGGAATACATATCTTTATCTTTATCTTTCTTTATTGGGTATATCTTTATTCCAACAAATTATTTACAGAATTTGTACACAAATCCTAAAGGAGAAAAACATAAGTGAATTTAAAAGAATAACATAAAATTAACCTTTGCATTACATCTATGTTTACAAAGCGTACATGTTTATAAAGAATAAGCCGACATGGGCAGCGAGCCTGTGCGTAGACTGTATAGTTGCATCCAAACATAACATTATTTATCAAAAACAAAATCTAAATAAATAAATAACAGAAGATATGATGAGGTGAAGATATGGTCTAAATGGAGTTACAAGAGCAAACCATGTGAAAAAATACTAGTGGCATAATTAAGTTTAAATAAAAAATAATATAACTGTAATAGTGACAGAGGTACTACGGGTTTCAAAGTGTGTCTAGATGGGAGTGGGGCGGGCGGTGGAGAACGAGTCGTCAGAGTCAATTATGTCAATTAACCATCATACTTTATTGTTTATTCAATGCAACTTAATATACGGAAAGTAAATAAAAGATACGTCTTATAACACTTAAAACATATATTTACGCTTATACCGTTACTCAAAACGGTAAATATACAAAAAATATGGTAAGTGGTGATCGATTTCGATTGGACACTCCAATCATCATCAGACCCAAAGGCGAATGTCCAAGATTCCAACATAGGCCAACATTCGCCTATTGGGTCTGATGATGATTGGAGTGTCCAATCGAAATCGATCACCACTTAGGCTACCATCTTTTTTGTATATTTACCGTCTTGTAAGTAATAGTATAAGCGTAAATATATGTTCTAAGTGGTGACGTATCTTTTATTTACTCCGTAAATTTAATAACACGTACAATGCTGATCAAGAAGTTATTTAACTTGATATAATGCAGCTATATACTATTGTAATATTCAGGTAAATTAATTAAAATGTTGGTTAAGGAACAGGAATCGAATCGTTGTAAAAAACAAAAAGCCCTACGCATAAACCAGACAGAATGGGCGTCAATCTAGCTGTTCCATAAGGGGGGACTTGGAGGGAAGGCTTCCCCCAGTAAAAAGTGGGGTTCAGGGGTCCTACGCCAGAAAATGTTAAAAATGGTTGATTTTCCAAAATGTTGTGTGTAAATTTGTTTTATGTATTGTAAATTGATTGTGTTTTTAAAATTTGCCCGGCTACACGTTAACCTAAGGGTCCCACCTTCTCATAGTGGGGGGATAAGAATGATATAATGATAACTCAATGAAGGAGTGTTTAATAATTGGGTTTAAGTACAAATTAGTAATTTATAAAATACTAGCTGTTGTACCCGTGCTTTGCAACGGGGAAAGGACACAAAATAGAAACATTTTTATCTTTACATCTGTTGCATGTAATATAGTTAGACATCCACCAACGCTTTTAGAAACAAAATTAAACTTTTATGACCTTAATAGAATCGTTTAAGCTATGACTTTTAAATCTGGTAAGTAGTGGATACCACCATTATGGGTTTGATTAATTTAAAATCTTGTGTAGGCTGATATGAGAAAAACTGACCAAATCTTCGAATAAAACTTTCACATACATGATTTACCTTCATCACCCTTTGTTACATATCTTTTTTCTTTATTTTGACATTTTTAATTTCAATTTTGAAGTTGCAAAAATACAATTTTTTAAATTTAAATGAACATTTTTTAAATTTTACTCTTCTTCATATTAAATCACAAATCCTTCCATATTCAGTTTCTTCATAATAAATCATTAGCAAAACTAAGTCAGCTGTTATAATCTTTAGAAATATTGTGCCTTATCAATAGTCTTTTGAAATATTAAATAGACTATTTCTGTACTATAAAAAATGTTAAACAAATAATTTAGCATTAACTACAGCAGACAAAACTAATATGATTATCAAAGCATCAAGGACCAAGGACAAAAGTAAATGTAATAGTATATGCTTCATTGCATCTCTGATTCTACTCTACAAAAATATCAACAAACAACTTAATATCATACCAGTTCTTTTAATCAGTTCCATCGTCTATTGCCTTTACATTTTCACACTTACCATTAAGTAAACGTAGTAACAGATATTTCATTGATTTTAGAAACAAAAGAACACTGTGTACTGCTTAGTTTTATTATATTTTCCTTGGTTTAATTTAATCAGTGATGTGACAAAACACAAATAATAAATTTATCAAATAAAGTAAATGTGAACTGAAACCTATGTTAAGATAAAATAAGAGTATTTAAATCAACGATATACAATTTATTTATTGATGATATTCTTTAGTTTAGCAAAACACAATAACTAAATTTACCTAAATATAATAACATCATTAACACATACTAAAACACATTAACACATTAGGCTATAAAAAAAAACAAAAACAATGTGATGTTGAAGTTATGTTAAGTTAATCTAACACATGTTAAGCAGTTCGAATTTATTTAAAGTAGACTCCAAATTCATATAAAACATTGTAATTTTCTTATTGTTTTCATGAAAATATATCAATAACATTATTTTCATAACACTTAAGCTTAAGACACCTTAAAAATCGAAAGTAGAGCCTGAGTTGATGCAACAATGCTTTTAGAATATTTTTAAAATTCTATAATCATTGACATAGTTTTTGAAAAAATGATCTTTGATAAATTTTTAGATTAAATAAACCAACCACATAATTGTATGAAATATGATATTAAATATCATTTTATCAGCTGTCTTAAAATGTGAAAAATGCAATTTGGCAGTTCTTCTTGTTTACATTGAAATGTCAAAGCAAATGTAAACATTGTGAGTATTCTCATTGCAGCCATGGATACCAATCAATATTTACTTTTAAAATCCTCACCCCAGAACTTTTAAAGCCAAAGTGGCAAAGCCCACGGTCAGTATCGAAGTGTGAATAGTCCTATAATGGTCCTTGGTATGGTAACTATATTTTTGTAAAATTTAAGCCCAGTTGGTTCAGTAGTTTTTGCACATATTAGTAATACACATACAGACGGACACCATTAGATTTTTATATAATAGTATAGATAGATATTTAAATTAGGATCAACCCAATTTTGTAATATCTATAAGTATAAAAGAGGATGTTTGTATATTTGTTTGGCAGTGATAAACTCGGACACCGCTGAACCGATTGCCACGAAACTTGGTACATACGTGTAGAATGTCATGGAATAGGTTTATACACCATCAATTTCGCGATCCGTCCAATCGGCTCCACCCCAGTGGCTCTGGAGTTTCCCATGTTAACCTTATGAGAAATGGAATTAATGAATCTTAACAGCTGTTTCAATTAAACAAGTTGGTTCTGTTCTATGATGTTCAATAGCATTAAAGTTACAAGGATTACCAACAGGGTGCAGCACTATTATTTCTTTTACATTTATGACAACAGCTAATTTGCAACCAAAAGGTGAGTGAGCGTAGCGAACGAACTTCAACCTGGAGGCGAGTTAGCGTAGCGAACGAGCTAACCTGAAGGCAAGTGAGCGCAGCGAACGAGCTCCAACCTAAAGGTTAGTGAGCGTAGCGAACGAACTTCAACCAGGACGTGATTGAGCCATGCGAGCAAGAACATCTTTAAAATTAAGAAGTTAAACGGGGCAAAGCCCGCGGGTTACAGCTAGTTTATATATGGTTATTTATTAATTTATAGTCACAAGAAAACTTTAACAGATACTATTATGGTTCTATTATATGATTTTATACCTAAGATTTTCAAGATTTCAATAGCATGGAATATAGAAGATGTGCGTAAAACGCTCCCTTGAGAGCAGCGATCGTTATAAGGTGTCGACAATGTATGCTGATAAGAGATAAGTGGCAATATAGTATCTTATAAGATTTACAACGAGGAACAAACCCTCCATCACAACCACAACATAAATTGAAATTGCCACTTGATACACATTCAACAAAAAATATAACAGTCACAAAACTGGGTACAGTTACACAATACTTATAGACAGGACTGTACACAAAATGATGAGTCCCATCATCTATTCTTGCTAGCTGGCTGCAATTAGATGTTAACATCTTATCTTTCGGAATTGAA